GTTTTGCATTTTGAGGGTTCTCAATTCTCATCACGCCTCACAAATTAGCTGCAGGGTCTGGATGGTTTCCACAAAGGCCATGGCAACAGCGTTACTAGGCAAGAGCGGGTTTCTTCCAAGCTGTCAAATAATGTAGACAGCGTGAGACCAGATGGGATCAGAAAACGTATTCCTGCTGTTGATTATGGACACGTGCATAACAAATTAGAAATCAAAGACACAATGTAGTCTGCCACTGAGAGACGCCAACTCTAAAGTAGAGCGTGCTGCTTAGCAAGAAATGGTTACTAACAGGTTTTGAATTGGACATGAAAAATATTTGAACATGCCCTTCAAACTGATTGCACTGATGTGCTACACATATTGAGTCAGTGGAGTGGATCCATCTGCTAAGGATTTGATCAACTATCTGAATCATTTATTCGCACTGATGAGAAAGAGAATCTTTGTACTGTCATCTCAACCTTTGTCAACCTAGACTGGGATGGGGATTTTTATGTATAATTGTGCATAAAACATCTTTGGTTTTTACAAATTTTGCATTCTGAAGCGGCTTCACAGTGGGCACAGTCTAATTGGGATCATAACCCTCCTTTTAGAAAATAATTAAGCTCACTTAATTGTCAGACATGACTCCATTCATAAAAAGAGACACACAAATCATGCTTTCCTCAAGCTTCGTTGGTGAGTTACTTAGGTTTATGCACAGTAGAAACCAAGTAGGTACAACCTGATACAGATCCTTTCACTGTCTAACATGTCAGTCAACAACCAGGGTTGAGACCTGGTGACTGGGAAGGTCATAGCATATGATTCACATCATTTTTCTAACTCCTCAAACCATCACTGACCCATCATGCCCTACAAGCGGCTGCAATCATTATGTTTCTCTACTCATTTGCAATGCTCAAATGGCTCTAGGGATGAAAATGTCATCCTTTGTCAGTCAGTCCACCACTTTGGTCCAGACTGAAATATCTCAACAACTATAGGATGGATTACCAAGAAATTCCATGACTTCATGGTGCCCAGAGGATGGATCTTAAGTAATTTCCTAAATTAGTTTTAAAGTTTTTAATTATCCAGTAGAATATCTCACCATATTATATTAGTCCAATGAGGATTGTTTCCAGTCTGAATGGCCACTAAGTAGTCTCACAACACTGGCTTGTTTCCATTATGTTATGCATAGAACATTCTATCAGCTTTCTACCATTTCTCTTCAGTAGTTGACCTAAAACCTTAAATTGTTACTACATCCTTCAGTTCTGCTAGCTCCCCTCCTCTCAGCCAATTTAAAAAATGCATCAGAAACCTGCAAAGAACAGAACTCTTACTGCCAATAATAACAGATGAAAACATAAAAAAATCTTTAGATACAGTATGACGCTGCATTGCAATGAGCTATCAGATGTTTAACTTCTAACAGGAGGGTTTGGTTAGAGAAAGCTTAAGTAGTTTCAAAACAAAGAAACAAAACAAAACAATTTAGGTTCCAGTTACTTTCCTGAATGACCAGCAATATTTATGACTCATAAATATTTGGGCTGCTTGTGCTTGTTACTGAGGAAAACAAAATAAAACTAACCATGTTGTGCCCCTCTGGGTATTTTCTCATTTAAGACGCTGACTGTCTTTTTGTTGTCGTTTCAAAGCCATGCCTTGTCTGGCATGTGTGGCCCCCTGGAATACTTTCACTGCAGTGTCCTCAGTGAATGATGTGGCTTTTAGTCAGGTATACTGCAACAATAGGTAATATTGCCTAATCAAGGCATGAAAGATCACAAGTGGCACATGTGGCATTTTCTGTTTTTAGCTTGTCAAAAATGTGTTGCACTAAATCATAACACACTTTCTTGATCTTCTCCATAATGTATAAAACTATCCGAAAGGGTCTTTTGAGTTATACTTCACCCAAATATTACATTTCGAAAAGGTAGATGGAAAAATTGGTTGTTTCTGTCTAAACAGGCAACAGTAAGGATAGCAGTTTAAGTGAAAATGACCACCAGCCCATTTTCAGTGGGCTGGTGGAAGGCTGCAACATCTGACAGTAGAGAGTTTGCTGCAAAACAGCAGTGCATTCATAAGCTTAATTCTGAATATGGTCTGTCGATATGGTATTTCCAGACAGACCTTTAAAATGAAAAAAAAAACCAAATCCTTTACGTGAGAGCAAATCTATTTGGCCACCAGAATAAATTCTATATATGAGAAACACTTTACGCTCTGTAAAAGGTCAGGATGTTTTTGTTTTCTTCCAAAAAAATGGAAGTTGACGTTTTCAAAAAGAATTCAGCCATCAGACAATCTTTTAAAGTGCAGGCAGTGATTTACTCCGAGGATGAAGGCAGTTTGGTGTTTTCAGCATTAACTGCCAAAGCTAAAAGGCCACACAGTGATAGAGAAGAGCTACTCCAACCCACCTACTTGAGAATATGGTTTTCATGTGGTAGAAAAGACGGTCGCACTCTGTAATAGTGCTGACAAAGGAACAAAAGAAAAGAAAATGGACTGCACCATAATTGTAGCAGAGTTACCTTTTATCATGTACAATCTAGCTGGCTGAAACTGTGTCAGACTGGAATGACTCTTCCATGATTCAACAAGTCTCCTGTTTAAGCTAGACACTATTCCACTGGCTTCCTCAACACACTGGGTTTCTGTTATCTGTATTCCTTAAAATTTGAAACCTCCATCGTCTAAGACAAATGGGTATCTACTGTACTACTATGCTGGAATTTGAGTGTCATTTTAACAAAGCTACGATGACGTTTCCTTTTGTTTAGCATTCAAACCAAAAAGCTATCCTATAAGTCTTAGTCAGAGAGCTTTCAGGGAGTTGGAGTTCCTCATAATCATCTTCATCTCTTAATCTTCATCATCTCTTTTAAAATGATGAGAATGATGATGATTTTACCATCCAGTAGACACCCATTTCATTTTAAAAGATCTATTAAAACTAACCCTCACAGCAGACATTTAGACTTGTCAAAGCAGGGAAAGCTGTTGTGGTCACTCAAAGGAGAAAGCTTGTCTAGTGCAGATGAGATTAGGCAGTTCAATACCAATGCTGGTACACGATATTCCTTCGTCTAATCAGACATTTACTGCAAGCAGGTTATATGCCATGACAGAGAAGAGCCCAAAGCAGATCCTACAAGCTTACTTTACAGCCACGCCCATTACGTGCTCTGTTACATATGGTAGGAGCGATTACATTTCTGCACCCTCTGCACTTCTTGGACACAAAAGTAACTAAAAACCACCCCATTATTTCGTAATCAATGCTGCAAACAACCCCTAATTTTGTGACCATTGCCACACAACTGTGATCTATGCTGTAGCTTACGTAAGTGACCTATGCCATTGTGAGCATTTATACTTGCTTATTGGTGTTGCTATACAAATAAAGCTAGTTGGCAGTTGGGGTTTCTGTGTCAATGTGTAGAGTTTCTTCATGTTCTTCAAACAATGGTGACTGAAATTCTTTTTCTCCTCAATCTGTTTTATGTTTTCTTTTTGTTTTTTTCCCCCACTGCCTTGGAATAAAAGGATGAGGGAATATCAGGGGACAGACAAGAGCATGTCGTGCAGCAAGGCAGCGTCCCTTGTGTGCCTGTATGTTTGAACAGGGGTTCTCAAACAGCATTATTAACTCATCTGGGTTTTGTTTGAGTCACTTCCCATTCTCAGACAATGCAGACACACACCAATCTGACCAATTTACAGTTTTTGTGATCTGAGTCACCACGATGTATATGTTTGGGGAGGTGTACATAAAGCTACGGTGTAGGGTACGAGGCTACGAAGTAAATCAGGCTTAAGTTATGCACTCCACCGCCATTCACAACACTAAAGCCCTAAAATTCATTCACCTAAACAGAATGCAGTCATTATTCCAGTGCTTTTCCTGACATAGAATGGAAATACTATCTTAATGATTCTGGCAGTTAGATCAAATGATAAATTAGGTAGCTGACACAATATAAGTCAGAACGGATTTTTACGAAGCATATGCCAACAAAGTAGTTTTTATGTTATTTAAAATCACATTTTGTTCTGCATCATGCTCAGACTTGTAATAATGGTTTAAAAATACTAATCACCCTGAATTATCCTCAAATGTTACTCCTGGAAATCAGTTCTGCCATCTCAAGATGATGGCATTTTATATTCTTCAATTTAACACTAACAGACCACTTTAAGTTCAAGTGAGTTCACAGCGATTTCCCCTCTTCATTTTATTTTTATGGCTGTGGCTACCTTGTGGCTGCACTGATGGGGCAGCATCAGCCTGAAAAGGGATTTAGCAGATATTTGAAGGAAAAGGCACCAGGGTGCATAATGTTCCAATGCATGATACATCACAGGGCGCCAGTGCATAAACATACATCTATCATCTTTTGAATCTCAGGACAAGTGAGAATTTCAAGACATTTCTCATGAGAAGTCAGTTCAGTTCAGCTCAAACTCAGCTCATTTTTCACATAAAAAATCTACCTGCAGGTATAATTCCCATCCTCCCAGAACAGTTAAAGAAAAAAAACAGATCACTGCAGTAGCATAAAGATAATTAGATAGAATTCTGTAAAAGTCCTGTGAGAATAAAGCTAATCAAATATTATCTCTCTACCCACTGAAGTTGTCTCATGGCTTTGTGCCTTTGTGGTATTTGGAACTAAGGGATTGAATACAGAAGTTCTTGATTAAAATCAATCACTATCAGAGCAGTTTTATGATGAGTTTTGGATAAAAACAGCTTGCTGGCATAATCATTCATGCACTGAGCCAAGTAACAGCTGAAGAGCCCCAAACTAAACACCTTGTAGTTAGTAACATCTATGGCATTTAGTTCGTTTACAGTGGTGTCTGAGGACATTATTAATCCTTCTTGGAGTCATAACTCCAAGGTTTATACCTTACTTATGATTCCTGTAGTGCTTATTGATTTATTGTTGATCGTGCTCTCTCTTATTTTAAGGTTGGTCTCCAGAGACATGGATATCCTCATGGATGAGGATTTCAGTGTGACCAGTAACACCAGTCATGAAACAGGACTACAAAGACAAGGACTCAACCACAGTGACCCTCTGGACATGTTTATAGGCCTGGAGCTTCTTCTACGTTTTAAACCTCTCTTCCTGCCTCTCTACTGCCTCATAGTGGTCGTGGCTGGTGTTGGAAACTCCTTTCTTTTGGCTTGCATCCTGGCCGACAAAAAACTCCACAATGCCACCAACTTTTTCATTGGTAACTTAGCAGCTGGAGACCTGCTGATGTGTCTGAGTTGTGTTCCACTGACAGTGTCTTATGCCTTTGACAGCCATGGCTGGGCTTTCGGAAGACCCCTCTGCCACCTGGTCCCCTTGCTGCAATGTGCCACAGTGTTTGCATCAGCGCTTTCACTCACTGCCATTGCTGTGGACCGCTACATTGTCGTAGGTAACGGACTAAACATTATATTTACTGATTAACTTTAGGTTTACTACTGAACATAAGCTTTCTTTAAACCTATTATTTGTGGGATTTGAAAATTGGTTTCTTCTTTCAATATTTTTCAGCTCATTTTGACCAATTGCCGATGCCAATATATACAAATATTTTTTTTACAACCTAATTGCAGAGAACATCAAGTCTCTCCTGTAGTAGAATACACATATTATGCCTGCTCTTATTGTGACAGCCCAATAGCAGATGTAGTCATAAAATAAATTTATACATTCCCATTTAAGCTGTAAAATACATCATACTTTAACAGGCTTGATAATGCTCTAACTGAGCCAATCCTGACAACAATCAGGGCAGATTTTACCAATTTTACAAGTTCCAAAACAAGTAACAAAATTGTCTCTGTCCTCAGGGATCATGTGAAAGTAACTGCATTCTACAACCGTACAGCAATTAAACCCAACTGAAATAACACTAATAGACATAGTGTGCTCTTTTTCACACAGTTGAATAAAAAAGCCTAAATTAGCAGGCTGCATATGTTTTACAGAGTTAAAATTTTTAAACTCAATAATATATTAACTGAATATATTAAATAAAAAATAAGATAAGAGCTTGCAACTCAGGTACGACCACACCTGAAAAATACGTGTGACTGGGCATCATGTAGCATGTGGCTCAACGTAATTCTGACTTCTTCAATGAATGAAAGCAGCTGGTTGTCCAGAGCAACACACTACATGAGTTTATGACTGATGCCATTGGCCGTGGGGGGTTGCGCTCATATTTTCTAAGGACCGCATTTTTTTCTTCACAAAAGTGTTTTAATGATCAGAATGACAGCTCTTAAGATAGCTAATTAAATTTGTTGAAGGAATGACCTACGCAGAGCAATCATTGCAAACAGCAACTTAGCTATCCGTTTCGGAAACTTAAACCACAGATATAATTATCCCTCTTTGACACTCGTAGATGTGGTGGCGTCATCTTTGGCTCACTGGAAGAAATTGCAGATGCTGATGTTTCATTTTATAGCCGTTATTGGATGATACCACCGTATGCGATACTGACATGCTGAATCCAATATTAATGTGTATCCCTAGCAGATGCTGAAAACTCCCCTCTCCGCCCCAACCTCGGGATACTGACATGTCTGTGTCTTTTCCTTTCTGTCTCAGCTCACCCAATACGGAGGAGGATCTCTGCGTGGGGTTGTGGTGCCGTGACTCTGGGTGTCTGGCTTTTATCTCTGGCCCTGGCTGCCCCACCATCTCTCTACACGCGCTATCTGGACCTACGACCCAGTGGCATCGATCTGGTAGTGTGTGAGGAATTCTGGCCAGATAGTGGCAGTCTGAGGCTGCTCTATTCCTGCTTCATTCTCATAGCCTCCTATATGATCCCACTGTTGTCAGTCAGCGTATCCTACTGTGCCATCACTGTCAGCCTAAAACGCTATTCCATTCCTGGGGAGCCATCCAACAGCCAGCAGCGCTGGAGCCAAAGAAGGAAGAGGACCTTCTGTCTGCTGGTGGCTTCAGTGCTGGCCTTCGCCCTCTGCTGGCTGCCCCTGCAGGTGAGTCTTAGATCCATACTGTTAAGCCAAACTGCCAGCCATTTTGACTATCCTTCTTCATTACCCCTTATCCAACCTGTTCAGTGGAATGTAAGGAAGAGCTTGATTTAAGAGTTAGGCTTTAGTGGGAGATCAAGTTTACATTCTTCGGTTATCTGCTAGCAAATCATAAACTCAGCAGCAGTAAACTGATAACAACAGCAACGGCAGTAGGCATTTTAAAGATGCACAAAGCAAAATATTATCTGCTTTCTTATATCACTCCACTAACTTCCTCTCACCAAACCCACAAGTTCAAAAGGCAGCAGAAGGAGTCAGTTGCCCTGCAAGACCTTATGTCTCGTAGGGCCAGCTCCTCGTGGCGTGAGCCTTGCCAAGGCCCCAATCCCTCTCACTGCAAGTCCTCTTTTAAAAGATGCCCCTCCAGCGCTGCGTGGCCCCAGGGCAGAGAGCCCCAGGCTTCAGAGGCAACTGCAAAGCAATCAAACAGTGTAATGAGAGGATGGCCCAGACATCCTATTTGACTGTTTCAACAACACTCTGCTTCGGCTGTGAGGGGCAGGAAGTAGCTACTGAATCAGGCTTTCACCATTTGAACAGACATGCATTGTAGAACAGCCAATTGGAACGCCCTCTCTGAGAACTGTGAAAAAAAAAGAAAAACAGAGCCAAGACGACGTGCACAAGTATAGTTTTAAGTGTTTTAAAAATATATATATATATGACAGATTAAGTGCAATTAAATATGTCCAGGACGCATAACATACATTTTTCTATGTCACTGTGTAGGTGCTGAACTTGTTGCTGGACCTGGACCCAGACTTCTACATCATAGGGAAGCGTTATGTTAACGTCTTACAAGTATGCTGTCATTTAGTGGCTATGAGCTCTGCGTGTTACAACCCCTTCATCTATGCCTCACTGCACAGCAAGGTACGCATGCACCTGAAAGGCTACCTCTGTCCTTGTCGCAATCGCCAGAGGGGGATGGTGGAGAGAGGGACATCCAGGGGCTGATTTCAGAGTGTACCTGCGATGATACAACTGCTGTAGCAGCTCCTGCCATGCAGAGCCATGTCCTTGCCCACAAGCTAACACCTGCACCCCTAACACCGATGTTAATGTCTGAGGTGTCCAGGAGAAAATAAAGACAAATGCAACATCCATTTAAATCAGATTTCTCCATGTGTTTCCAGAATTTTTGTGACTTAAAAAAAAAGGTCCTTACTTGTACAGTGTCACCAGAAGCAGTGCTTAAAAGAAAAGGGGGGCACTTATGACAAACAGACGAAGAAGCAGATCCAGGCCAGACTGCTTAGTATGATGATGAAGAATTAGGCCATTCATTGGGATCCCTGTGTTTTTCTTAGGCGCACTGAGCTGCTGGCAGAGACACTAAGCAGATCCTGCCGCTTCAAAAAGGTGGCATAAACAGACCCTCAGGCTGACGGTTTCTCAAACAGACTTATGCTGGAGGCTGAAACCAGGAGTGGCTATACTGGTCACAGTGGCCTGGTTATACTTAAAAAGTAAACTCTGACTTCATGGAGCTTTTCTGAACTCTTCTCAGCAGACATGAGTTACAGACCAAGACGAGCATGTGCAAAAGACACAATGTGATTGTTTTTTGTCCCTGGTTCTGATTGTCTGTGCTTCAGAATCTTATTCTTAATATCAGTTACATCTCTCTGATGTTGAAATACATGTTGCCTGCTGTTTTTAATGTTATTATGTAGTATTTATTCTCTATGATTTTGTTCCACTGTCTAACTTTGTGTTTCATTTGTGCACATGGATAAATACAGTTGTGTTTGTGCATGCATGTGTAATGTCAACAGTTTGTGTGGACCTGGGGGGAAAAGATTAATACGTATATGGGAGATAATATCTGCACCTTATATGTCACCTTCAAACCATTGTAAAATGTAACCAATACTAAATTCATAAAGGTGTTACCTTATGAACAAGTCTCTACTTCGGCTCTGTCTGGAAAACAAGATTGACACAATGATCAACTTAATATTCAGAGCATGAACAATAAAGTCACCCATAAGCATCACTGTGCTGCCACCTGTGCCACTCAGTTTCCATCAAGTGTGATTAATGCTTTCTTTGTTTGTCAAAGCCTGGATATCAATTCAATTTCTGAACATGCGTTCTTTTAAAAGACTCACCAGAGAACTGGTTAATGTGATCTTAATTAAATTTAGCAACATTAATTCTGTTCAATTAGTTATTCAGAGTTCTACAGTTTTCATTATTATTGCTGCTTATGATTAAAAGGCAATTTTTTCTACTGTTAACTGGAAGGTTTGAAACAAGTTATTACATAAAATAAACATATCAGTGCAGAGCAAATTGTCCATCAACAGATCCAATCAGCCCATTCAAAAATGCCAAAACACCATTCATTCTGTCACCCGAGTGATAGGAACAAAAATACTCAGGGTAGCTTTGATGCAGTCTGAAAAAGCCTAGCTCCCCAGCCAGTGTCGATGCCAATCCTGCATTCAGTTCTACTCCACTTGTTTTTGCCCTGAAGCTATATCAGAAAGGGTCTGCAAGAGTTCTTGTTTTGTTTTCAAGAAGGGAGGTCAGTTGTTTTAAGATTTAAATCTTTAATCACAATATCAATCCACATTTAAAGCCCCTGCGACTTGGTTTGACATGTTTAGTATTTCTGTATATACTATTAATGACTATGTAGCTATCAAACTTAAAGGGTGGGGAAAACATCTGTAGTTATTATTTCTCAAGAGTTTTGCACTGAAAAACTGCTTCATCAGAACTTTGTGGTTGCAAATATTGTTGCATCCTGTTCAGTGTATGGACCTTTTCAAACAGAGCCCCGCCCACTTTAAGCTAGTGAAAAAAGCACAGAAATCTCTCAAGTGAAATAGCCAAACTGAGATAGAAAGTAATGTAATAAAGAAACTAATCACTGTGAAATGCTGATGTACTGTATGTACTGTGGATGTACAGTATTATAAGAACTGCATGCAAATATGGCACCCACTCACTTGAATGAAAACTGCTTACTCGTCTATTGACTTTACTGTAGGATGACAATATGTGAGTGAAAAATTGCTTTTCTAGGCTCTGGGGAAAAATATAAAACCTTCAAGTGGCAGCAACCCCCCAGAAAAGCAATTTTGTCATGGTATAGCCCAGTCGAAACCTTAAATGATGACGTTAAGTTTGTTTCAACTTTCTCCAAAACTACAGAAGTCACCATTATTTTTGTCTATAAAAGACAGAAATCAAGAAAGAACAAATACTTTGTGCAATATAATCAAAGCCAAAAGTATGGCACTGGGTCTACAAGTCCAATATTGCTGTATTATTCTGCTGCCTCTTACCATCATCAGTAACAAGCAGATTATGCCTTTATAATAGGCTGTCAGCAAAAGTGCACATAAAGAACACAATAAACGGGAAATACAAATAAGCAAACATACTCAAGATGTTATTTCTGCCCTTTTGGAGGATTTTTCAGGGCCATTTCAGTTGTTTGAATAAGGCTGAGAATTCCACCAGTTTATTTGCTTCATATTAAAATACAAGTAAATACAAACTTTAGTGTTTAGACTGACACAACAGCAAGTGGATTCTGGCTAAGACTTGTTTTATATAAACAAACTAAGCCCCTTACAGTAAGGATTTAGACTTCCAGGTCCCCTAGGCTACTAGACAGATTTCACTTCAACCACCTTAAATTAAGGTCTGCAACAGAGTGAAAATGTGTTACATAAAAAAGAGAATATTCAAAATATACTTCAGGCAATTATTTGTGAGTCAATTGAACCATAAAATTACCACCATGACTGGAAATTGGGTATTGCTGTAACAGTGTGAATACATAGAGGAGATAATACTGTACGAAAAGGACCTACTAATCCTTTCAAGCAATTAATTACGAACCTGCTTTCTTGTCAAATAAACAAAAATAAGTATTGTTTTGATATAAGTGGTTTATGGTAATTGGCTAAATAACTGACGCTAGTATCCTGTACAAAAATGTATGTGTACTGGTATTTGAGCTAGTTCATCACGTCACTTTTGGACGCGCAGGGATGTTAGTGATATGAGACCGTGGCACTGTCAAGTTAGCAACAACACATTTACCCACGTCCGGGTGGACTGAATTAGGAAAATAAATAAGCAACGTCCGGTTACACTTTCAAAATAAAGCCAGAAGAGAAACGTTTCATATTTTATGAACAATCGTAATACTACCACTAAAGACACTAGTGGTTTCTTTTCCTCCTATTCCTACTACATTATGCTAGCCGACAAAAAGTATACGAAGTGAGTTAGGTCTAACGTTATCGTTGAGCGCTGCAGCATTTAGAACAGTGGCAGGCATGAGGTCAGGGCTTGTGCAATTAAAATACTGGATGTTATTGGCTGGTCAACCCGTGGGAAAATGGGCTCAACCCTATTAAGTCGGGTCGTCGTAGGCTACCATCCTTTTCTAGCCAGTCTGGATTTCCCTCATATCTTCTCATGCCCTATCCTTGGCTCGTCGTTCCGAATATAATCCCACCCTACTTGGCGAGCTCATACATCCAGCGCATTACATACTCGCCCCCAGGCAACCACTAATACTTTCTAACTCAACCCACCCCTGCCGTTGCCCTCATGCTCCGCTCACTCGGGCACGCGCCACGCTCACCGCTCGCTCCCCCTCGGTCTGCTAACTTGAGTGCCACCTGTCTCATATCAATCAGACGATCCCTGGGCGTGCCAAAAGCTGAGCACTAGACGGTTCCTACAGCCGCTTCACTTCATTGACAGTGCTAGGGACGCTGACCAACGCCCTGCAGGTTTTGAAGCGTTGGGAAATGAACCACGCCTGGTTGGCAACGACTGCACGCAACTCTTAATCTCAGTTCGGCTCAGCTGGGGGAGTTTGGGGCCTACTAACCAGTCCCCGATCCTTCGCGCTTCGCCTCCTTGCCAGGCAGATATGAGATGATCAGTGTGACTTCCCCTGCTCAAATACGATGAGAGGGATGCAACAACACTTGCACGGAAGGACTAGCATGGAGGACAGAGAGGGGAACGACAAGTCACCTGAAAGTGTTATGCGAGGGTTCCAGAGCTTCAGACAGAGCAGCAAGGAGGACAGGAAGCTCCTCCCGCAGACAGCTCGAGAGGTGGCTCGCTTAATAGCAACATTACTTGGATCGTGTTTTACACTGTACCCAAAGTCTCTGATTTCTCTGTGAAGATACGTGTGATTCCGGATGCAAATAATGACACAGAACTAATCTAACTCACCAAAACACAGCGCATCACATTCAAAGCAGCGTATGAAAAGTTCATTAGGGACTCAGGTAGTGCTGGGTGCCATGTGCCCTCGCTGATGCATGTCTGCTGTGTCGTGTGATGTCTGTGTGTGTTGTGCTGCTGGCCTGGTGTGTGTTTGTGTTTGTGAGACCACTGAAACAGAGACTTGCTTGATCGGATCCCCGATTACTTATGTACACATGAGCTCTCAGCTCAGTGTTATGGTTTTCTCTCAGAGACTAGAATATACTCAGACCAAACAGCACGATATGTTTGACCACAGACAGCCTGGCTCGGACACCACTGGCTGGTAGATTCTTTCAACACCTGGCTCCCAGAACAGGTCAACTATATTGTTGTTATAGCTGTAGGATGACGTAGATTTATTGTGGAGAGTAGTGGTTGCGTGGTCGGTGGGTGCGGTTGGGGTGTGCGTGGTTGGGTGCGCTGCAGTGAATTACATATGCTGTGTCGTGAGACGGCTGCTCTGAAGTGCAGTTGATAAAGATGATGCTGTGTGGAAGACGATCTGCAGATTCTGTCATAAAGGTGGGTCTAGAGAGGAATCCCGGTGGCCAACACCATTCATATGGAACCTGAACTGTCCAGACACCACAGTAGGAATACCAGTTAGCTGTTTAAGACACGAACGAAACTATCCCCCAGGGGTTCCCAACCCGCACGCAACTCGCCCCCCAATATAAAGCTCCCACTTCCTCTCCCCCCCGCGGACCACCTATCCCCACCCCGCCGCGACGCCAAACTTCCTCTCCCCGGTGATTCCTAGAAATGACATTCTGAAACA